TCTGCCCCTCCTTCTCTCTCTGCCCATCATTGAATTTCCCTGTACCATGGACTCTCCTTTACCTGTATCTCCCCAGGCTCTCCCCATCTCTTTGCCTTTGGGCTGTAATAGGTTGTCTTCTCCCTGTAGAGACTCCCCAGCTGGTGGACATTTTAAACCAGTATTTGTTAACAGACAGCTACTTGCATAACATTTTCACTGAATTTCAAATTGGCCCGGGCCCTAACTGCTTCCTCACAGTGGCACATTCTTGCCCTCTTCCGAACGGGCGCAGCCCTGCGTGCTCCTCCTCGCTGCCTGTCTGCTCCTTTTGTCTGGTGTCTGGCTTCCGTCTAAGAAAGTCTGGCCTGAGAGTGCTGTGGCAGCTTCGCCCAGCCGGCCGTTCAGTGCATTCTCCTCCTCAGCTAAAAGCTCGGCACCTGCACATGCAGCCTTTTTGTCCCGACGTGGCTGGTAGCCCGGAGGCCCCTTAGACAGGTTGCACTGTGGGCGCTGACTCAGTGACAGACAGGTTCTGGCCGGGCTCTCCACGCGCTCGGCTGTGTCACCCTGGACAGACGCTGACGGCTCTGCACCTCTCTGTTCTCTTGGAGGTAACAACTCCCAACTCCAAGGGCTTTGTGTAAATTCTGTACTTGGGATATTTCCGGTAAGTGTCTGTTCCCTCAGTGCTTAGCTATAGAGAGCCCGGAGAGTTAACGCGGCTCCACACGGCAGACACAGTAGACGCGGTGAGGTGAGGGCTGGAAACCCAGCCACTGACATAGCGCTTCCAGCAGAAAGCATTTGGCCCCGTCCGTGTCCTTCCTGCACAGTCACCGGGGGTCCGTGAGGGCCCAGCATCCTCCTTTCCGGCCGCTGCCGCCACGGGACTGAGGTGGGCGGAAAGCAGTGCCCACTGGACAGCCACAGGGACATTAGGGCGGTGATGGCTGGTAAGAGAGCATCCTGAGTGTGGCAAAGCGGCCCATTCAGCCTCATGGAAAGAGGAAGTTTATGTTTCATTCCTGGTTCCGAGAAAAGAAAACCTTCCTTTTTCTTTCCTCTTTGTTGTTGTTGGCAGAACCCTGTAAGACTGCAGCTCGCCTGCACGGCACGCTGGGCCACATTCTCAAAGAACCTCTGTGCGTGGCCTGTCGGGTTTTCATGCAGAGCTCAGTCGGGGGCGGGGGACGGGGGCGGGTAAGGTGGGGGGTGGGGAGGTGGGTGCAGATGGGCCCTTCACACCCACCTCCTCACTTGGAATGTGATCGGGTACTAGTGTGAGATTTGCTTTTCTTGAGAGTAGAGCTCCTTATGGCAGCAGGTCCCTGCACAGCGCAGTCTCAGGTGGACGGCTCTGAGGGTGACCAGGAGCTGTGCCTGCTGCCGGGCGGTGGGAGGGAGGGGCTGTTGTGAGAAGCAGAGCTGAGAGGAGTCTCCAGACGATCCGCAGTCCATGTGGGATGAACGTACGAGGGACTCAGTCCGTGCAGGTCCCGGCACCGCTTGCCCGGGTGCTGTTGTCCAGAGCAGACCTTCACTGGGAATGGTTAGTGTTTCCAAGTCCGTGAGGAGGCAACAGCGAGAATCCCTTCTTTCTGGCATGATGACTGGTGACGTACTGGCTTTGGCTACTTGCCACCCATATCTACTCGGACAGAGATGGGTAGCTGGGGTAGCAAATAACTATCAAAACTTCAGTGGCTTCAAATAGCAAGAGTTTACTTCCCGATTCTATTTTGTGTCCACGTGGGTCAGAAGGGGTGTCTGCTGCTTTAGACGGGGTGGGGGTTAGCCTGCCCTGCACACCTACGCCCCCACATGCCGCAGTGGGACGACAGGGACAGGGCGAGGCTTGTCCTGGCTCTTCACCTTTCTGCCCAGGAGGGATACCTGCCACTTCTCACATACCACCGGTCAAAACAGTCACATGACTATGTCTATCGTCAAAGTCACTGGGGACACTCCATCCTCCTGTGAACCTGGAGGAGGAGAGAGAATATTCAATGAACGGCCTATGACTGTCTCATTACTCATTAAACACAGCCACACGGGGACGGGGTTCTCTGTGCTCACAGTGACTTGCACCAGCAGCAGCAGAATTCCTCGGGCCCGGAAGTTTCTGAGCATTGCTGACAAGTGTTGTCACATGTCCCCACAACAGTCCCCAGGAAGTGAATGGTCTGCATCCTGGGAACCATGTGATACAGCAGGTTCAAGGACTATAAATTTGAAATACTTTCAGTGACAATGATTATGATGAAAATAATAATGAGGCATAAAAACTCACCCACAGAAAGAAGTACATCCCTTCAGCAGTTGTTTTAACTCCATTTTTTGGGCCTTTCTTTTGAAAGTACCTTTCAAGTATTAATCAAACAACACCTTTGTGACCAAATTAATCAACATTTGGCAGATATGGAAATTAAGGCTAAGAGAAGATAGGTAGAGAAGACTTTTCAATCTCTAATACATAAGTGAAAGTGATTAATTCATTTTTAAGCAATTGGATTGTAACTACCCTCACCACCTATCACCACCACAACCACTTCACCACCACCACCACCATCATCAGCACCATCATCACCACTCTGACCACCACCACCACCACAACCACCAGCACCACCATTATCACCATCATCATCACATCCACCACCACCACCACCACCACCATCATCACTTCCATCATCATCACCATCAACACCATCACCACCACTGTTACTACCACCACCACCACCACCACCACCACCGTCAACACCACTGTCACCACCACTGTCACTAGTACTTACGTTACTGCCATTATCATTATAAACACACACGTGTGACTCATATACTATTTTTTTCTTCAGACCATCATGGAGACCAGAAAACAAGGTAAGATTTTTAGCAATTGTTTCTTTTTTTCTACATATTGCATAATCCAGGAATTAAGATGGTCAGAGGAGAAAAGTGGCAACTTAGAAGTATCTTGGAGACTGGGTTTGCACTAAACCTATCTTTCTCCTTCTTTGATTTTTTTTCATTTGAATTTTCTTTCTGTGGTACTCTCTCCTTTAAACTTGGAAGAGAACCAGAGCTAAAAATGACACGGTCTATGACACCATGACCTCCAGGTCCCAGGAAGAGTCTGTGTATCATGGCCTCATGCTCTTTAACTAGGTGTACCCTTTTGAAGTTCCCATTGTGGCCAGGATTATCAGTTAGGGCAGTTTTTCCTGCCAAACTCTGCTCAGCAGCCATCGGGGGAAGCTAGATGGACCAGTCCAAAATGAAGTGGCACAGTGGCCAGGGAATCAGAATAGTTCGGCAGATTGCAGTCTGCAGGTCCCACTTCAGGAACTCACCTGTCTGCTCTGATTTGGGTGTGATGCGCTAGGCCTCTGGGAATAGTGTTAAGAGCAGGCTTCCGGGGGGGGGGGGGGGGGTGGGGGTGGTGGTGGTGGTGGTGGTGGTGGTGGCGGGGGGAATGTCAGTGCCTCCTGAGCTGCAGAGAGCAGGTTCCGTCCTGACCTCTGGCTGGGACCTCACCCAGGGCCTGTGTAGGTTTAACAAACCTTTGAAAAGCCTCCAGGCATTTGTGTCTTTAACCCCCCTGCTGGCTGAGGTAATGGTGCAGAGCAGAGAGATTCTGGCCCAGAACTAAAGCCCTAGAGTTTAATCCTACCCACCCCCAATATTAACAAAACAAGGATATTATTAAATTACCAATCCTGGCTCCAATGGAATATTTGCCAAGAATTCACTGCTTCCACCTCATACAATACGTCTTATTTTTCTTTTGGGCATTTATTTTCTGAGTCAGTTTACTTCTTCGTGGTTCCTTAATTACCAAATGGAATTCTTTCCATCTTTCATCCTTCATCATTAGGGGTAAAATACAAAATCATTTTCTGGCAAGAAATAAATATCTTAAAATGAAAGACAATATTTAGTGACCAAAAAAATTCCCCAAGAGTACCACATTTCTGATGAATCAGAACTGGAAGCGATTAAGGGCTCAGTGCATTAAAACAATGAGCGCTCACATCCTGTCCTTCTTTGTCATACGACAATCAGACCTTCTCTTTTAAGTAAGTTGGGGGCTGCCTCCCAAATCCTTTAAGTGAGCCAGAGATAAGTGCATTGGCATGGTTTGAGGAATAGCATAGAGGAAATTAAAAATGTTTATTTTATTGAACTAATATTCCCTTCTGGAGATTAAAGTGGCAAATCCAGCCCACAACTCTAAGACATATACAATTCAACAATTTAGTTTCTATTTATTTATTCTGTCAACTTGAACTTTATAAGTTGTAACTTATAAAATGCTTGTAAGCATGTTCCTTCAGTATAAAATGGGGTTGTCTCAGATTGTATTTGCAGATAAAAATATACTTAGTTTGATTTTATTTGAATTGTGGAATTTTTTATAGATTCAAAATTTGAAATTCCTGAGAATCCTTAGGTTGACTAACTTTTTGCTATGTTGTAGGGGATTATGATGTGAATAGCAGATATTTTGATCATGCCAATTTGGAAAGCTCCTTATGCCATACTTTAAATGTATTTCATAAGAAAACATTTTTATTTTTATTATTATTTAAAAATTTAACTTTGTTGTTGAGATGTCCTCCATTTCTCCTTTTCCCCCTTCTCCCTGGCTCCTGCCCCACCCCTGGCCTTCCCCACACTGTTGTCTGTACCCATGGATTATGCATAAATGCATACAAGTATAAGAAAACATTTCTAAAGGCATTATTTAGAAATCAGGGCTAGCTATTTTCATTTTAAGGGGCTACCTCTTAGCTATTTGAGTCAGTGCACTGTGTAAGCTTGGTTGTGGTCCGTGTAAGACCTTTCCATTTGGGATCTATAAAGGAAGGCAGACACAGTCTGCGGAGACAGCCACGCTTTTCTCAGGAGGCGGATAGTAGCTACCGTAGTTAAGTCTCAGTACGTCATTCCTATGTTCCAGCGACAGGTAAAGCATTTTCTGTCGTTATTTTACGTGGAGACAGTTACTGTTTTACATTTTACAGATGAGGAAATGGACAACTCAAAGAAGATGCCCAGCTTTCCACATGCCCTGTGGCAGGTGGCAGAACTGGGGTGCCCGCCACGCCAGGCTGGCCTCTCCCCAGAGCTGATGGGTTTCTCTCACAAAAGCAGTGGTGTGGGCATTGAAAGATGGTCTTCAAGCTCCGGGGACAGAAGGTGATGCATGCAAAGGGCAAGGGTAGATTCCCATGCGTTTCCTCTTCAGAGCGGCTCTCCTGCAGAACAGCCCTGCTTGCTAAGCCGGCTTCTCCGTGGCCCACGCTCAGTTCAGTTCCCACTGAGCCTCTCACCGGGCTCCTTCCTCACGATTACAAAGACTGGGAACCTAGCCCATTACTAATATTTTTAAAAAGTTATTCTGGCTCTTTCAGGGCCATATCAGTTTCAAAGATCGCTGTCAGGGTGGGAGCAACTGGAGCTGAAATAGCCTCAGAGCGGAAACTGTTCTTCAGAGCTGAAAAGTCAGTGGAATATTCATAGAAATGTAATATGAGCACAGGATACCGAGTCAGTGTCAAAACTTTGTTCCAAACCATATTTGCTATTTCTAAAGCAGGCCGGCTCCTCGGGGACGGCTGGGCTCAGGGAAGAGGGCGGGTGGGGCGGGTGGCAGCAAGCCTAGAGCCTGGGCTGGGGCGGTCTCCTCTCCCCCAGGGAGGTGGGGGTCTCTCCTCAGGAGTTAGGGTTCTGAGGATGGGGAGGGTGTTGGGTCCAGCCCTGCCCTCTAACAGGGCCATCTCTGGCTGACTATGGAAACCTTTCCTTCATGTTGCCACATAAGTTTTGGGCCTGATTTTGAAATAGAAACCATGGTGGAATCGATACGACAATCACTGTGCAGTGTTTTGCAAGTGCAGAAATGACACCATTTGCTTTTTCCTTGAAAGTCTCCTGCTCGGGATGTCGCTAAAAATCCATGGCAGAATACACCCTGAGGAGTAGCATCTTCAGATGCCAAAATCATGTCTTCAAGGCAACCAAAGGGATCATCTGCAGATGACCCAGATTGCTTTTCAGGAATGAACAAATCTCTCACTTCCCCCATGAGGAGCCAGACTCATTTGTAGTTAATCTAAGAAGTAACATTTAGCAATTACTGCTTCAGCACGGTGGGTGAGGTGGGTGCCTGTGGCTCAGATGATTGGAACCCTGTGACCAGGAGGACTGCTCACTCCTGGGTCCCCTCCTGCCTCCAGCCAGCCTCCAGCCAGCACTGGCCACGGGCAGCCTTTGGGGAGGAGAGTTCCCATGGGAAAACAAATGGTACCCTGGGGTGCTAACTGCCAAGCTTGCAAGTTAAGGGGAGTATCATCCAGGGAGAGCAGGAGGCCCACCCACTCAGAGGGACGCTTTGAGCGGGGGTTGCTTTTCTCTATTCACTCATATATGAGATGAATCATTTGGGACCTCCAATTACTGTCTGTAGCCATGCAACCCACAGGACTGACCCATTTCTCCCACCGCCAGGCCCTCCAGCCAACTGTCTCAGGTTGGTCAGAGACACAGCTATGAGCTTCAAGAACACGAGGGAAGCTCACTCTGTGCTTCTCCTCCAGCGTCCACCCTCAGAAACCACTTTTTCAGACCCAGATCCCTCCCAGGCAGGTCTCTCCAGAATGACCGGAAGCATTGGTACCCTCTGAGGCCCCTTTTGGGTTCAGGGAGAGTAATGCCTAAGAGTTCCCCTTATGCCTGATGTGTTCACTGTTCACCTCCTCACCCTTTTCTCCACCCCCCTACCACCCTGCCACTGCCCTGGCTCTTTCCATTCACCAAGAACACCTGCAGAAGCCACCTCTTTTTATCCTTCAGTTAAAAAAATTTTAATCACTGGATCCTTATCACTCAACAGAATGCTTTGTATATGCTAGGAGTTCACTAAATATTTGTTGGAAGAATGAGTGAGTGGGTGAAAGAATCAAATGTAGAACTGATTCCATTGAGACAAAGGCACATTTTTAAATGTTATCATTTTCTTACTTTTCTCTTTACAAAATTATACATGATTATTGAAAATAATCTAGAAGACAGAGGTGAGTAGAAATTAAGAAAATAAAACCACCCACAAAGCCATCACTTGGAGATAACCTTTCTTGACATTTGGGGGGGTGTTACATTCAGGCGTCTTCAAACTATGGCCCGTGGGCCACATGCGGCCCGCAGAGGAGTCTGATCCGGCCCGCCAGGTTTTTTGGGCAGTGAGCGCAGCCGAGGTGTTACAGTAGGAATTAGTAGTTCATATAGTCCGGCCCTCCAGCTCTCTGAGGGACCGTGATCTGGCCCCCACTTTAAAAAGTTTGAGGACGCCTGCATTATATCTATATGCATATCTATTATATATGACTTAGGGACTTAGTCAATAAATATTACTGTGTAATTGTCTTTACTTAAATCAGAAAGTTTTGAAATATAGTATAGATTCTCCCACATTATTTTTAAAAATTTTCAGAGCATTTTATTGCATGATTTCAACTTAATCAGTCACATATTACAGCATCTGGGCAGCTGAACTTTCTCCCTGGCTTGTTGACCTCCTTGGGACACATTCCTGCAAGAGGACTGCATGCTCCATGGTCTTCTAGTTCACTACATGCTGGCCAGCGTGGGGGCGGAGAGGTGTCATATGTGCTCCTGCCCGGAACAGCCCAATGCGCTGCCCCTCTCCTTGCTGAACAGGCCGGATCACCATTCTTCTTTTTCAAAAAATATATTTTCTTGATTTTTTTATAGAGAGGAAGGGAGAGGAAAGAGATAGAGAGCTAGAAACATCGATGAGAGAGAGAGAGAGAGAGCATCGACCGGCTGCCTCCTACACACCCCACACCAGGGATGTGCCCGCAACCAATGTACATACCCTTAACCAGAATTGAACCTGGGACCTTTCAGTCCGCAGACTGACGCTCTATCCACTGAGCCAAACTGGTTTCGGCTGGATTACCATTCTTTTAAATAGTTGTTAATTCCTATGCAAAGAGTATATCGATGTTCTTATGCTTTGCATTTTTAAAAATATGTTTTTTAAAATTGATTTTTAGGGAGAGAGAGAAAAGGAGAGGGAAAGAGATAGAAACATTGATTGGCTGTCTCCTGCACACCCCCTACTGGGCATGTGCCCTGCCATGGCATGGAACAGCTGGTCTGTTGTGGCATGGGATGACGCTCAGTCCACTGAGCCACACCGGCTGGGTGCATTCCTTTTATTAACAGGGAAACAGTGATGTTTCATGTGGTCATTTTAATGTTTTCTTTGCAAATTGCTTGTTAATATCTTTTAAGGCCCATATAGTTTGGGGACCAACATACTTCCCCTCTCTATTCCATAGGGCTGTTGTAAATTAGGTGAAGTAATCTATTTGTATATGCTTGAAACCACCAAGGCAGTACACTAGTGTGTTGATGTAGTTTGTGACCTGGCAGGCTGAGGGCCAGTAGGAACAGGCACTTGCAGACAAATGGGTTAAGTGCTACGAAACAAAGGCTTGAGTTAGCTTTAAAGAGGAGGGGTGGGGAGAGGCACCTGCAGAGAAGGGGAATAGGCCTTGCCTGGAGATTTGTTACTTTGAGAAAGGCACTGGAAATAGACAAGATCAGAAATAATACAGGGGCTGTCAGGCTGGAAATTGGAGCCAATTAGAAGCAAGGAAGCAAGGGGGCTTGAGGAATGGGAAACCAGAGTCTGCTGTGTGGTCTGTATAGTGGGGAGGAGGGCAGGGAGAGGGTGGAGGCCTCCCTGAAATGTCCCCAAACCAGCAACCGAGAAGAGAAAATAGCAGCGGTGTCACTTCTCAGAGGACTCACCTGAATTCCAGGGAGACGCCGCAGGTGTGTGTGAGACGGACAGGAAGCTGGTGTCACTGCACACAGGTGTGGTCCTCGGGCCAGGCTCACCTGTGCTCTCCAGGAAGTCCTGGAGTAACCATACCTGGAAAGGCAAGCAAGATAAAGAGATGGGTGGTAACTAAGATAAAATGCTGTCCTAAAATTCCTCACTCATGTAAAATTTTGCAAAACATAATTTTATACTCATGTGTATTCACATATAATTATAGATGAATATCCTATCTAATAAAGAGGGAATATGCTAATTGTCCATCACACCCACACAAAGATGGCAGTACCCACAGCCAATAAGGAGGGAATATGCTAATTAACTGCCACACTTTCAAAGATGGTGGTGCCCACAGCCACAAGATGGCAACGCCCAATCCACTCAGCAGGGTGTGGCATGCCTGGGCCCACCACCAGAGGGGTCTGGCTGCTCCGTGTGCCTGCCTCCAGAGTCCCCCAGTCCCCTCAGACCCCCAGCCACCCAGGGTCGTCCCGAGGCACAGGCAAGCCTCAGATGGTGGCTTCCCCGCTGCCCAGGGCCACCCAAGGCTCAGGTAACCAGGGCCGACTGAGGCTTGTGCTGCCAGCAGTGGCAGCAACAGAGATGTGATGGGGTGTTGCCTTCCCCTGATCACCTGGTTGCCTCACGCCCAGGAGGGCTCCTGGGCTGTGAAAGGGGGCAGCCTGGGCTGAGGGACACCCCCCTCCAGTGCATGAATTTTCATGTACTGGGCCTCTAGTATATTATATACATTGTGCATGTATCACATTATATCTATAATAATAAAATCATAATGGGCAAATCGATGGAACCGCCGAACAGGAGAACGATTGTCTAGATGACCATGTTATGACAGCCACTGGCGCCAGGCCAGCCAAGGCAGGTGTGATGTGATTGGTTGGGCCTGCCATCACCCCATGATCACCCTGCAGAGGGAGCCAGAGGGGCAATCAATTGGGGGGCTCCATGACTGCCCCGAAGAGGGAGGCCCAGGCTAACCCATGGCAGCACTGCGGTGCCACAGGCGGGGCCTCCCTCTGCAGGGTTCAGCCATCCCAGAGCCCTAGCTGGGTGGGCGGGGCCTATTTCTTTGGGGTGATCCATCGTGGTGCCCCTGCCAGGTGGGTGAGGCCTACCTCTTTGGGGCAATTGATTGTGGAGCCCCATGATTGATTGTCCCACAGAGGGAGGCCCAGGCTACCTGACTGGTAGCACTGCAATGGGTGGGCGGAGCCTCCCTCTGTGGGGCCATCGATCATGGGGGTCCTGGACTGTGAGGGCACAGGCCAGGCTGCGGATCACCCCTAAGTGCACAAATTTCATTCTT